TTGTCAGCCTCCCCTTCAAGCGCGGACAACGGATTTCCATCGTCGCCGCCTTTGACGTTACCGGCTTCTTTGCCTGGAAACACACGACCGGAACTTTCGACCGTGCCGCGTTCCACGAAGGGGTCGTCCATTTGGCGCGCGAGGTGAGTGGCGTGGTAGCGGAGCTGAGCCGGACCCGGCACGTCCTCGGGTGCGCGGGGAACGTCCATAATCTACATCGAGGGCATGTCATTCCATCCAATCACATATTGATTGATACGAAAGGCAATACCCGCGCAGCAAGTCGCGCAGCGACTTCGCGGATCCGATTCTCGGTCGCACGACGAATCTGCTGAGCTCGTGTCTCGCTCTTCTCGACGTATACATAGAGCTGAAAGGTCGTGTCGCCTACGACGTCAAAAAAGAATCGGCGGAGTAGCGCGCGCGTACCGTTGGCGCGGGCGAGCAATGAGTTCCACATGCTGTTGATCGTTGAGGCGTACGTGTCGGGCGTGATCCCAACGTACGTGCTTTGGCGGTCGTTCGCGCCGACCTTGGCGTACAAGACCATGTTCGGGGACCTCGACAGAGTTACCGTTCTCGTCGCCGTCGTTCTAGCCCTGCCGTATTCGGTCATGATCGTGTCGGTCATGACGCCTACGCGCTGCAGTAGCACGCCACAGCCTTCGGTGTATGCATGGACGAACTCATGCGTGTCGGCAGTGGAGCGACCGGTCAGCGCGGCACCGACCTTGACCGTCAAGTTGCAGCTCAGGTGCGTGGGGAGCTCGACCGTCCGTTGCGCTCGAGTCATCCAATCGACACTTGACAGCAGGGCCAACGAATTATTTTGAAATATGCACTGCCTTCGCCAATGTTTTCGGCCCTTTTATTTTTATTCAAGTAAGGGACTGATCAATACATTTTTCATGTTATCCCGTCCTGAATTGATTTATATTACGCTAGGACGTTTTAGCAGTTCGGCGATACGTATCCGGACGAATTAGCGGTCGTCCTCCAAACGAATTATTCGTCCGGCAGCATCCGGTAGAAAACAACGTCAACGAATTAGACCCCATTTTGGGGCGACAAAAATGCTGATTATCACAATACATGATTTCATAAAACGAATTACACTGTACGACCAGATGCCATGGCCAGACGCTGCAAATCTTTTCACAATGGCCCACAGATTCGTCCACGCCGTTGTTTCTAGCGGTGGTAAAAGGAGGTTCTCGATCGTCTATCGTCGATGTGTGCATGGTCAACATGGACTACAAGAACACTGATGCGCATTTACTGGAGCTCGGCATCTGGTACCCGACAAGCTGGCGCTAGTAGCTTGGCGGCAAATTTGTGTCAACCGCCTGGTCCACAGAACCTGCTGCTGTGAGAAACAACCAGCCCGAGGGATAGATCCGTAGCCAAGATACACTAGTGTCACCCAAGTGTGGGGCAATGCTGCGCGCAAACACGTCGCCCGAGCATTCGACAACAAATCCGTGTATATTAGGTACATAGCCCACACTATTAGATGCAGCGGCCGACTTCTTCGATTTCAATTTCTGCGATACGTCCTTTGCGCGCCCGTTTGAGGACCTTGAACTGCGTGCCGGGCGCGAGGAGGCACTCCTTTTCATTCGGGTACATGGAGAGCACTGAGATGTCCATCGCCGTCGTGCACCGAACGCTCAGGAGCGTGCAGCTGCCACCGCAACTGTTCATGAAGCCACGGGCCACGTTCTCGTCCGACGTCGTGCTGCTGACGCCCCACCACGTAATGACCTTGCCTTCCTCGTATTGGTCGAAAAGGTCGACGCTGATCTACACCAGAGGTCTATGAGCCTCCGTGATACATAGACACGTGTATGTACCCCACGCCAGAGCACTTGCGACTTCTTGGGCATGTAGTTCATGGCCTCCATAAAGAGGCGCAGATACTTGAAATAGCGCTTGACCGCTGCCCGGTTCTCCGATCTGCACAAATGTGAGTGAAATAAGTAATCACTTGTAGCAGGGACATACCGGAGGGCATTGTTGAGCTCCGCGTAGATCCAGTTGCCCGTGTACAGCACGATCGAGCCATAGAGGTCCTAGCACAATTCAACTGTGAGCCACAGAGCCCTATCGCATATGGACGACGCACCTTGTCCATGGGCTTGACCGGCGCACCAGCGTTCGATACCACGAGCTGTTGGCCCCGGCTTTGGCACTGCTTGACGGCGCTCGCGTGACAAATACCGGCGGCCGCAATCCCGAGGTTCTCGGGCTTCGGTAAGTCCATAAGCCCTTCAATCGGCGCCAAGTGCGTCTGCTCTTCCATGTCATCAAAGCCCATGCGCAGCCAAAAGTCTAAAGCATCGCCGACATGAGAGAGAAGTCAACCAGCAAGTGGCCGCGTACCAAGGAGCGCTTCCTTTTCTTCGACGAGCGCGAGCGTGTTGAGCGGTGGCGGTCGTTGCCGGCCCGACAACGTCGGAACCAGCGAGTAGTACTGCCCCGAGAGCTGCGTAATGAGCGCAGACGATGGCTTTCCCGTCAACGACGTCTTGAGCTGGGCAAGGACCGCCTGGCCCTTCTCAATCTGTGCCGCCGACAGCTTGCCCATGGCCGCATCCGAGTCGCCGCCACCTATTACACGCTTTCTGTAGGAAGACAAAAGGAATTTGGGCTGCGTACCGTCGCCCGTCTCGGACGCGTCGAGCTCGACGAGTTGGTACTGCAGGTCGTACTTGACAAACGCATGGCGCTGGTGCCAGTCGTTCTTGGTCTTGTCGCGGAACTTCTTCTCAAAGAGCGCAATCGCCTTGTCGACGTCGCGCCCAAAGCCCTTGAGGTTTTGCTGGCCGGCCTCGCCGAGGCGGCCCCAGCGCGTAAAGACGTGGAAGGTCGAGTCGGCCGTCGCTTGGAGCAGCTGGATGATGTAAAACTTGTTGTTGTTGTGGCCAATGTTGGTCTGCATGAGGTCCGTCGAGTAGTCGTCGAAAATCTCAAACTTTTCGCGCGTTGACAAGTGCTTGTCGGGCCGACGCGCGCCGCGACGTTCGCCCAAGGCCGGCGGGGGATCGCTCGTCTCACCCTTGACGGCCTCAGGCTTGACCTCTTCCGCTTTAGGCTTCTTTGCGGGCGGAGCAGCTTCGTCCTTGGCCGCGCGCTTCTTCTTGGCCGCTGGCTTTTCTTCAAACTCGTCCTTCACGACCACCGACGCGGGCGCGGCGCCCGAGAGCGCAGCCACGAGCTGCGCTTCGGTCCAGATGACTACCCCTTGCGCAGCCGCGGTCTGTGTCTTCTTGCCTTCGGTACCGTCCGCTGCAACGAGGATCGACGTCTTCTTCGTGACCGTCGACGACACGGTTCCGCCGGCCTCGACGATTTGCGCAGTCGCGTCCGCCCGGGTCATGGTCGCGAGCTTCCCCGAGAGCGCGACGACCTGGCCCTCCAATGCCGAGGCCGCCTTTCCGTCCAGCGCCTGGACAAGAGCATCTTCCATACAGATCTTGATTCCGGCAGCGACCGCGTCCTTGTACTTCTTGCTCTCGTCGCCCGCGGTCGTCACGAGGAGCGTCGTCGCCTTGGTCACCGAGGACGAGACCGACCCGCCCGCGGCCTGGATGCGCTTGGTGGCCTCGGCCCGGGTCATCGTCTCGAACTTGCCCGAGAGCGCGACTACTTCACCGGTCAATGGCATCTTCGTGCTCGCTCCTCGCCCAAAATGGAAATATCCTGGCAAACCCGCCGTTGGATTACCTCCGTGAATCGGTTATCCTAGCCGGTTAGTCGACTACAAACCCCAGTATACGGTACCAGATGGCGTCGAAACGACTACGTGAGTGAATGTCGTTGTGAGTGGGGGTCCCCTGATGTATACATGATTTGTTTAAAACGCTGTTTGAAACAGACGTTTGATACGCACGATAAAGATGTACTTGTATTTTGTAGGGTTTAATTTTGTTTAAAAGAAATGTGTTTCAAACACAGTGCATTCTGGGGATCTGTAGGAATAAAACAGCGCACTCTGGGCTTGGTGCCACCCATCGATAATCGCGCAGTCGTCGACGGCAGACAGGACAATTCTTGTCTCGGCGCTGTGTACTGTCGCCGCCTTCAGTGACAGTAGTACGATCTCGTACGAAGTTGGCCCACCACTGCAGACTCGATTTCTCAATGTATGTCAACGCCGTTGACACCTACATAGCCCGTTGACTACTCAACGGCTTACGTCGAGGAGCCCGCGCAGGGTCAATGGTCCGTGCAGTGACAGGTCGCATGATGGCTGTGGCCTCGGCATTGCCCGGGGGAATGCTAACAGCGCAACTAGAGCATACTAGAATGAGGTGGGCAGGAGCAACGGTAATCACTCTCAAAGATTCCGGCGTCCAACATGCGGTGGCGCGTGGTGGCCAATTCCTTTCTCCTTGCGTCCGGCAGCCACGTACTGCCAGATGCGCCTGCGCGGCGCGATGCGGCGGCGATGCTGCAAGCCACAATGGCGATGGCGCGCGGCGACCTGTGGTCCGCATACCAAGCAACCGCGCTGATGCAGCGACCACATGCATCGACGCGAACTCGGCGCCCTGCCTGGGTCAGCTCTTTGTGCGTGGGCGCGTGTGGGTCACATTCGACCTGCCAGCGTCGGGATACCAGGCCATGGAAGCAGCCGTGCGCGCAACGGGCGGCTGGCACGAGGCGCTGGCCAGCGCTGCCATACCACGCTGTCACTATGCAATGACGCGATGAACGTACGTACTCTTGCATGTGCGTGCATACACGTATACGCGTGGCTAGGCCGCGGCGAGTGTCGAGCAGCAGCTCGGAGGGGCGGCGTCGACGTTTGTTCAGCTCAAAGAGCTCTATTCGCACCTTGCTACAACACCATGCGCGCCGTCTCTGGTGGTGCGGTTCTAGCCGCCAATGGCTTCAAGCGCGAGGCCATCGACGCGAATACCCGAGTGTTGGCAATGGACCCGAAATGTACACCAGCGATTACAGCGACCCATGACCTGGCGACGGCAACGACGACGATGCGAGTGGCACCAACCAGCTTCCCCGAACTCGGACAGCTTCGGACCGCGATCGTACACGCGCACGCACAGGGTCGCCTGCAGGAGGCGGTAGCTCTCAACTGCATTGCGCTCTTGCTGTCGCCGCAAGACGGGACTACGCATACCAACGCCGGTGCCTTCTACTACGAGGTGCAGCGAAGTATACCATCCTCCCTCACGTCACTTGCATCTTGGGCGCGACGACGCCGCCCGGCGCCACCTGCTGCATGCGATTGTCATCCACGCAACGTCCACGCGCTCAACAACTTGGCCGTACGACGGATGCGACGGCTCACTCATACCGGTAGGCTGTCGACGAGCGTATGGGGCAAGTCGATGCGGCACTGCAGACGTACGCATCGGCTGTTGCCTTGGCCCCGAGTACGCGCTCGGTCTCTACAACTATGGTACCGCGCTGTTAAAGCGGCGGGCGTGGCACGACGTTGTCTCCCTCTTCTGGCAACGGCTGGGCTTCCGCAATCATGTTGCCCAAGTGCCGTCCATGCTGGGGATACAAGCGCTGGTACATGTGCTCTTGCTGGACACGATGCCGACGCCCGTTGCCGACTGCACCCAACGACTGCTCTGCGAGAAGTACGGCGTGCATTTTGCACCCAACTCGACACTGGGCGCGTTGGCTGACGCCACAGCGGCCTGCGAGCGCAGTATGAATGTGACGGCGATCGCCGTGGGCCACGTACGTGGTAGATCGCTATGGTATAGCTCGCATCCCAGCCATCAAAAACTAGACGCTCGGCGACGTCTTGGACCATGTTCGTCGGTGCGCATCCGTCGAGCCACCACAACTCGAATCTGTCCATCTCATCGTGCAGTACTTTTCGGCGTCTTCGCCGGCGCGCCAGGCCGAGTTGCCATTTTACACTGGAATCTGCACAATCCTGCTTTGGCAGCCGTCCATATCCGCGTCGGGCACGAGGTCGAGACCGACCGTCTACTTGCATCGGTGACCCCAACAACCAAGCTGCGCATGTATGTGCTCGGCTATCGTTTCAAGGTGCGTTTGCCCATGCCAACGCACAGGACGACAGCAGTGTCGTCTGGCTGCTGGCCAACGCCGATGTGGACTTTGATGCGTCCGTGGCGATACTGCAGCGGACGACGGCGCACGGAGGTTAGGAATACACCTCATTTACACATCTCATGAGAGATTAGGTCGTCGCGATGGGAGCGAGAAGCCAGCAACAGTGTTCTCTTGTACCCGCGCGTTGATTCACAGGACGCTTGGGTGTTCCGTGCACCGATTTCTGCTGTCGACATGGCAGTACCGCTGGGCTACCCGCGCTCCGACTCGCATGCGGCTCACCGGTTGCGCCAACTGGGCTACGACGTGGTCAACTGGGGCCGCTACGTACGCGCTATGCACGTGCACGCCAGTAGCAGCCGGTCGTACGCCGAGGCCGACACCATCCGGGGAGCGGACGCGTACGTGCGGCTCGCACCGTCGCTGCCATCCAACTCGAAACAACAGCAAAGATAAACATAGCATGGCAGAGAGAGTCGGATCACGTCGGTGCTGTCGGCTGCGGGAGGTGATGGGCACGAGCGACGAGGCGGCGTCTCTTGGGTGTCTACCCTGCATGATACTTGCACTAATCTTTGGCACCAGTACCGGTACTAGTTGGCACTGAACTTGATGAGGTTGCACGTACCATCTGTCGTGGCCCTTGGTCGTCCCGCATAGACGGACGGCCGTGGTGCGTCGTTCGGACAAGTTCTGTCGCGGGTCGCTCGGTACGTTGGCCCGCCTCTCGAGGCAGACAAGGCTTCGTACGTTGTTGAAGATGACACCGGTGGGCGTCACGGGATCGTGGCGGCTGGAGGCTCATCACGAACAAACTGGTCGGACGGAAAAGGAGCGAATCCTTGGCCCAGTCACACGAACGCGGTGTGCGCGCGTCGCAATGCAGAAGCTTCTTCCTTCGATGAGCGTCGTTTAGTAGATTGGTGGCTCCACCAAATTGGAATCGCACACGTCTGTGGGACACGGCGTGTCCGATCAGGATAACGAGGCTGGTGCACATATCAGATCTGATGCTTTCGAATGGGTGGTTGGCCAGAGTGCACCGTTGGAACTCGTCGACCAGAACCTAGCTGGCAGCTGATTCGCGCGGTGGTACGGCGCTTGATGACGAAGTCGCTAGCAGCTGCGGTTGAAAGCCGCGTGCATAGCACGCGCGTGTATTCCGAGGGACGAGCACGCACCAAGGACAACCAATATGATTGCTATTTCGACAACTATGACTAGGGAAAAGCTGTTCCACGGGATGGCAGCTTGTACGTAGACACTTGGGGCGCTGGTTTGTTCTAAGCACCAGAGCGGGTCGTGCACCAATTCTGGCAAGCAAGCAAGCCGGTGGGAGGATAGTAGCAAGAACTTTGTTTCGTGCAAGAACCGCTGTTTGCTCAATCACGACAACGCCGGTAGTATCTCTGATACCACAAGTATCTACCGGCAAGCGACTTTGGCGACGAGGCTCGCACAGTTGGACGTTGCTTCTTCTTCGTCGCATGTGACCAATCGTGTAGCCATACCGACTGTAGGACATCGTCCGACATCAGCCCTTCGTATAGTAACTCAGCACGTAGTAGGTTGGACGTCATCGTGCCGCGGCCATGACGCCGTTGTCAACCAAACACGTTGATGTATACGGCCGCATCCCAATCCCGACCGCAACGAAGGGAGGGTCGTCGAATTCGTGCACGAGCTTTCGGCTTCTGGTGATGCCAGCCATGTCCCAGGCATGCCGGGCCTCTGCTTGCAAGCTGCTCGCGTTGGCATTTGGGAGTGAAGTGCCATGCATTGTAAAGAGGAGGATGGAAAAATCCGTGTACCAATCGCGTTTGCTTGGCGTAATCCTCGCACGTCCTGGCCAGCCCCCTCCTTGGACGGGGCTCGGGCGACGCCCTATATTTTTCGCACAAGTTCACGTTTGGTGGGCATAATCTCGCCTCCACGAGCTCCAGCAAGGCGCGCAACCCGCTCAACCTAATATACATGTGTATACGTAGTATACCTGGTACTGTATACATAAATGTAGGTCGAGCGATCAGAACACAGCGTTGTCTTGCGTGCAGTGCTCGGCCGCGTATGATTCGCGCCATCAATTTCTCGTGGCCTCTGCGTAATGCTGTTTGTCAATCCACCTTCAAGGTTTCTGGTCCACGATGCACTGCAACCGAGCCTCCTCTGATACCGGTACGAGTGGTGGCTGTGGTGGCCGTTCTCTCGACGGCGGCGCTTGGTAGTAGAGTCCACAGCCACGGAAGAGAGAAATGGAGGAAAAATACATCTATATTGTCAAACAGGACGGTCTACGGGGGACGAACGGGCGGCCATAAATATATTCGCGGCGCGAATCGGGTCTAGACTTCTTCGACGGCCACGATGGCGTCGTCGGCCGCCTTCTTGTCGTCGAGAGCGTCGAGGAGGAAGTCGAGGCAGACCGAGAGCGGCGGCATGGCGCTGGCCGGGAGGTTGGTCAGCGACAGCGTCAATCGCTGCTCTTCCTTGAGCGGCACGACGTCGAAGGCCTCTTCCTTGGGCGCGAGCGCGCTCAGAATCTCGTGCCGGATCATGTGCTTGTTGCGGAGACCGCGCTGGCGACGCGCGAGCTTCTCGCGGTACTTTTGCGCGTGCGTTTGCGTCTGGCGCACGGTGCGCGTCTTGACAATGTCGGCGATGCTCTTCCACGGCCCCTTGGGGTACACCTCCATCGCGGCGAGGAACCGCTCGTGCTCGGCTTTGGTCCACGCGCCTTGGCCCTCGACGGGCTTCCACCCGCTCTCAAAGTCGTGGCTCGATACGATCAGCATGGCGTCCGAGGGCTTGCGCGAGATGGTTTGCTCGACACTTGTGACGCACAAGTGCAAAGTGGGAATGATGCACTGGACGACTCTAAAATCTGTACCGTGTCCGCGACACGGCGGCTCGAACATGTCTGTAGAAGGCTTTGCGGCGACCAGATGGACGTCGCCAGCTGTCTTCGAGTGGGCCTGCGATACGTCCGCCATGTGGCAATGGACTCTATCACGGTCGTTGGGCCGACACGCGACCGACTGGGACATACCACGTGGGGCAAACGACGAAGTCGCCGCCGATCCAAGCCAGCACCCCACGTGTGAGCTGCGCTCGATCGGCTCGGATCGGCGATACAAGATGTAGAATCTGTATTGGCGGGAGCTACTCGTACGAATATGAGCAAACAGCGACTGTCGCCAGCGTGAAGCTGACGCGTCGTACTCGGAAGACGAAGTAAATGTCATACAACAGTGATTGGGCTGCAAGTCTAGGCAGCAACGACGCCTCCACGCCGTGCTCTCTGGATCTATATGGATCTGCTACCTGCGAGTCATAGTGTACTCTCAGAGGCGCGGGCAGGACAACGTGCTGCGTCCAAGCCTACGACAACTCGGTTGTTCTTTTCTGCTCTCTCAGAGAGCGGCGTGACGCGCCGTCGCCGCCGCGTTGCCGACAAAACGCGTGCGCGGAATGATCTAACTCTTGCGCGGTGGCGTTGAAGTATGGGCTTGAACGCACCGTGTTCTTCTCGCCTGGCTTGGCGGTGGTTCAGGCGTCATCATCCTTCTGGACAGCCACCCACGACGCTGCTTGGTCTGGCACGAGTGCGCGCTGACGCAACCGTCCTAGCTCGTAGGGATGCCCCTCTGCAACGTGGATCGCCTCTTGCACGTCCCATCGCCTTGTGCTATCACCTCGGCAACGGCGTAAACGCATGTACGGTGGAGTATATCCCAGAGTATATCCCACGTTGAATAGGTTTAGCCCAATGTCCCAGGAACGTGGGACAGAGGAAATATATGTGCACCTCCATGATACCGGACGTGTCAGCCCGACGCAGTAGCGATGATTTATGTGAACCCCACATGGCAACTAGAATAATCGTGCAAAAAAAGCTTAGTTTGTATCGCAAGCACCTGGTGCGTCGATCGTCTGATTCATTGAGGCGCGCGGTCGAACTGTACATACTACGCTCAAGCTCGAAAACGCGCCAAGTTGCCCCACGAGTAGCTTCTCGCGAGCAGAGACAAAGGCAGGGGGATGGGTCGAAAAGCGATGTTCTATTGGATAGGCAAGCGATGGGCAAGGCGTACTACACTAGGAGTAGCCTGTGCATGCACAAGGTGATTTGTGCGCCGAGGTGGTAGGTGCACTCAATACTAGATCCCTTGCGGCACGAGGGCGGCGGCGCTCCAAGCAGAGACTGCAAATACACGCAGCAACGCATCACAGGGCGGATTCAGCGACTGCAGCTGGGCTATCGTCGGTCGAGAACACTCCGAGTCGCGTCACTGGGCTGAGAAAAGGTAGAAACAGATGCGATACTAAACCGTCCATGTGCTATGTGTACCATCTCGGGTCGTCACCTACGAAACAGACGTCGTGGGTTCTTTTCTTTTGGGTCGCATGGGCGGGTAGTTGTCCAATAATGTCAAGCCGCGTTGCGTAATCCTTGACGTCGATTGCGCTCGCAAGCATTTTGAGATGCGCCTAGTGCACTTTGCACTTTGCAGTTTGGGATCTCGAATTAGGTCCCAGGCGCCGCGCAAATCAGATGCACTAAGAACGTAGCGTACGAGCCACGGCGTCTGTTTGCATACATGGCGTTTCGTGTGCGTGGCCGTCACACCGGTCGTCCAAGCTTGCCCATTGCAAATCTGATCATGTTGTCTCTGCAGCTGGCGCTGCCACGTGGAGAGGCATCCCACGGCCATTCCGATGGTGGTGGTGCTGGATCGACTGGCTTTCGACGTGGCGTTCGTAGCGCCCCTGCGGCAACATGTCTTTGCACACGAGCCACTCTGCGCACGTGACGAAGGTCCTGCCTATGCGTGGTGGTTTCTGCGCTGCGAAAGGCGAGTTGGAGCTTGAAGACGGCCGCCCATCGCCTTCCTTTGACCGTGCTACTATCAGTGCTTTCTGGACCGACCAACTTTGGACATTTCGAGCATCGTGGGACCAGAGCGTTCGTCAGGCGTTGCAAAGGCCGCACCCGCGTTTGCTTCAAGCTGACATCAACCGGCTTCGGTGTCGACGCAGCGTGCGACGACAACGATGCGCTACGACATCCAGTGCAAGCATCGAAACCTGCGACGCGCAACCACCGACAAATCCCTGCAGCCCCGATGACACCGCTTTTGCCCAGGCCACTATCACATGTCTCTGTCGGCATGACAAGGTTGAGGTTGAGCGCTCAACAATTATTGATCGGCCGCGTTCTTCCAAGCTTGGGTTCTTTTTTCATCCACACCAAGCGTATTAGCTGCAGAATGCGCTGTATCCTTGGCGCAGGTGCCTCCTGGTCCCGTCGGCGCGGGCGGAGATTCGCGTCCATGGCGCCGCCACCACCGTGTCCACGAGCCTCGTTGTCCTGGCACACGCCGCCAAAGACAAGGACCCCAACCGCCGTTGCAGCTGGCGTTGTACCCCTCATCCTCCGTGGTTCCGTGGTGTTGGAGAAATGCACACGTTGATGTACAGTACTCAATTTGTATTCATGAAGACTGCAACTGTACGCGCCTGCGACTACTCTGCAGCGTGGCCGCCGACGAGGTGGGAAAGGAGGCCGTCGGGGTTGGCGAGCAGCGTCGACGGCGGGCCAAATTCAGCAACGGCGCCGGCGTCCAACACGAGCATGACGTCCGCGTCGAGCACCGTGTTGAGCCGGTGGGCGATCGTGAGGCACGTGCAGTCGGCAAAGACGTCGCGAATCGTTGCTTGCAGGCGACGGTCCGTCGCAGGGTCCACGGACGCGGTCGCTTCGTCCATGACAATCACTTTCGACTGCTTGAGGAGCGCGCGGGCCATGCACAGCAGTTGCCGCTCGCCGACGCTATAGTTGCCACCGCGCTCAGCCACGACATCGTCGAGGGACCCGACGCCGGTCAAGTGCACGGCTTTGAGCGCCGCCCAGAGGCGATCGTCCGAGTACAACTGGAGCGGGTCAAGGTTGTAGCGCAGCGAGCCTGAGAAGAGAACCGGGTCTTGGGGCACGATGGAGACGGCATCTCGGAGGCGGTGCAAAGGTACCGTGGCCACGTCGACACCGTCGATCGTGATGCGCCCGGCGTCCACTTCAACGAGCCGCATGAGGGCGACGACGAGGCTCGACTTGCCCGCGCCTGTGCGTCCGACGACACCGACTTTGGCGCCGCCCGGAACAGCAAACGTCACATTCTGGAGCACGAGAGGCCGTTTCGGCTGGTAGCGCAGACCGACGTTGTGGAATGCGACGGCGCCGGTCGTCGGCCACGCCGGAGGCACCGATGACCCGCCGACGGCTTCGGTGCGCACCCGCGTGTAAGCGTCCATGCGCTCGACCGCAATCATTTGCGTCTGGAGACTGCTGTAGTTGGTCACGGACTGCGTCATGTACTTGGTCATCGTAAAAGCATATGAAAGCGAGACGCCGGCAAGACCGGCAAAGAGCGCCGAGGAGCCTTGGGCGTGCACCCACACGGCGCAGAGCCCGGCAAAGGACGCGACGACGGTCCCCGCGACTTCGAGGCGCAGCGAGAGCCAGCAGTTGACGCTGAAATTGAGCCAGAGCGCCTGCACGTTGCGGTTCACACGCGCATCAAACGTCGCTGCAAAGGCGGACTCGGCGGCAGCCGCCCGAATCGTACTCAGACCCTCAAGCGTCTCGCCAAAGAGCGAGAGCACTGGTGACTTGGAGATCGACTCGAGACGCTGGAGCTCCCGCGCCGTGTGGAGGTAGTAGCGCTGCGACTGCCAGTACGCCCAGCCAGTGGGCAGCAGAATCACGGCAAAGAGCGGCGTCACAGCAACGATCGTCCCGACGGTAAACACGACAGTCGTCGCCGTCACCAAAAGCGCGCTCCACGTCGCTGGCAGGCTTTCGTCGGCGGTGTAGACGTCCGAGGTGAACCGGTTGGCGAGTTGGCCGAGTGGCGTCGTTTCAAAAAACAGCATCGGCGCCCGCACGACACGCAGCAGCATCGACCGGAAGAGCTCCTGGCTCCCTCGGAGACTCGCAATGTAGAGTACGGCAGCGCGACTGAAGATGCCAACGACGTATGCCATCTGGAGGCTCACAAAGATACACAGATACAAGCGCACCGTGCTACCCGAGACGTGCTCGGACCAGTACGAGAGCCACACCGTCCCCGCAACGCTTGTCGCTTCAGCAGCCACGTACACGATGCCCACGAGAAGCAGTGTCGCCCACCCGCCACACGCGTGCAGCCAGACGCTGTAGACTGACGCGGTGACCGACCCGCGCGTCCGGTCTTCGGCCACCATGAGTGCCGTATCACATGTCGACGCTGGCAAGGGAGCGTCGGTCGGTGCCGCCTCAACACCGATCGGCGCTGTGGTCGGTGGCGGCACGGCGTCGGCCAGCATCTTGGCTACATACGGATGTATCGCGACGTCGGTTAGCGTACCCGACGCCTGAACCATGCCGTCGGCGAGGACGACGACCGCGTCGGCGACCGCCAGCGCACTTGATGCATTCGTCGCCAGCAAAATGAGCTTGGGCTTGAGCACACGCTGGAAGCATTCGCAAACGATGCGAGCGCCGACGTGGGCGTCAACGGCGGCGAGGACGTCGTCGAGGAGGTAGACGTCGGCGTCTTGGTACACGGCGCGCGCAAGGGCGACCCGCGTCTTTTGACCGCCGCTGAGGTTGATGCCCTTTTCACCAATCTCGGTGCGGTCGCCGGCGGGCAGCAGCGCCAGATCGGGCGTCAAGCATGCGACGTCGATCGCTTGGTCGTACCGCGAGCGATCGTAGGGCAGACCAAAGCAAATGTTGTCGCGGACGGTCGCATTCAAAATGAACGGTTGCTGGGCGACGTAGGCCATCGCGCCGCGCTGAGCGACGGAGCCCGAGGCATAGGCGACTTCGCCCAGGACGCTGCGCAAGAGCGACGTTTTGCCCGACCCCGTGGGCCCCACGATCGCGACCAGCGTGCTTGTGCCGACCGCAAGCGACACGTTACGGAGCACGGACGTCTGCGCACCGGGCACTTCCAGTGTGGCATTTGCCCACTCTACACCGGGCGCCAACAAGCTACCTGATGTCACGAGCACGCGGTCGGGCGACAGAAGGTAGTCGCGAAGGCGGTCGAGACTGATCTGCGCCTCGAGAATCGCGTTGACCATGTCCGGAAGCTTGAGCAGCGGAAGCCGCAAAATGTTGAAGAGCGCCAAGCTCGTCAGCGCCGTGCTCACGTCGAGCGAGTGGCCCAAAAGCACGTATAGCCCAAACGACGCGACGGCCGTGAACGCCGGGAGGCCGTTCGACATGGCGTTCGAGACGGCGCGCGTGACGAGGTACGTGCGCAGCTGGGCGAGCTCGCTCGTGCGCAGCTGGGCGAGCTCGCTCGTGCGCTTGGTTTGGATGCGACTGACAAAGCTCTCTTCCCACGCTTGGCATTTGATGACCTTGACGCCGGCAAAGACCTCGTTGCAGAGCTTTGTCCGGTCGTCTTTGAACTGCATGACGCGCTTCTGGATCGACTTCATGTACGTGGCAAGCCGGAGCGTGAGCGGCACGAAGAGGAGGATGACGCCGACGCCGGCAAGGAACGAGACGCCGATTTCGCGCCAGAGCAACCCGGACGACAGCAGAATCAAGTAGGGCACGACCCAGATCGAGTGCAAATCGACGGTCAGTTTCTGAACACGCGTGGCATCGATCGACATCAAGTTGGTCACTTGGCCTGAGGAGCGGTCGGCGGACGGCGCGATGCGGAGCGTCTTGCGGTACAGCGCGGCCTGGAGCGCGCTGCGAAAGCACATGCCGACTTCGCTCGCAAGGTACGTGTACTGGCGAATGCAGAGCGACTGGAGGACGCCCGACACGAAAATGATGCTGACGAGCACGTAGCCGTGCGACGACGGCGCGCTCGGATCGCTCAAGAAGGCGATCATGGCCTTGAGCACGAGCGGCGCCGTGAAGAGAAGCGTCGCCCGGATGCCCCGAAGGAGCCCAGCAAGGAAGAAGCGCCAGCCAAAGGCGCGGAACAAGGCGCGGAGCAAGCTCGGCTTGGACGTGCATGCACACTGCGCTGCCCAGGCGGCGAGGAACCGCTCAACGACTGTCGTCGCGTCGTGGCCGGCCTCGATCGGGTAGAGGTCGTCGACGTCGAGGGTCTTGGTTGCGCCGAGGGCCAGGAGCGGGCTCAGCCACGTGAAGAAGAGCGCCGACGTGCAGCTTGCGCGGACTGGCGCCGGTGCTTTTGCCAGCAGTGGCGTTGCCTCGCTGGCCATGACGGGTCCTCGCTCGGGATCGGGTGGTCTCGAAAATGCAGAGCGAAATCTTGATGTTTGTAGGAAGCATTAAATATTGCATTTTAAGTTTTCGAAGCGTGGCGTGTTCGATATTTGAACTTGGTCTTTGTATGGAGCAACTGAGGTGGGCGATGCGAAATAGGTGCAATGACGCAGCTAGTGGGTAAAACTGGGTTTTACCTTGTTTACCGTGAATAACGTGCTGTCGCCGACGTTGCACTTTTGACGTGGCAGCACGAAAACGTAGCGCAGCGAATGGCGGTGCAGCAGTGTCCGAGAAGACTGCCAGGTCAAGCAACCCGGGCAATACGACACGGAACTAGCTGGCATTCTTGGCCAATGGTCTTGGTGAACAAGGATACGCGGTTAGTTCATACGAGTAGCCGCTGGGTGGTGAAGTACTTGACGAGACCCTTGCTGAGAATAGGGAAGAACCGGAACCACACACTCTCCGAGCTCAACTCTCAGAGAAAAGACAGAAAGCTAATCGAGAGCAGGTCAGGTTGCAGTCGGATAGAGAATCAAAAGCTTGGGGAAAGGGAGCAGAACCCTTTGGGAGTAGAAACCGCCTCCTAGGGCCACTCGAATCCACCGCCGGTTGAATTCCGCTACAATGGTATTGCAGTGAACAAATATTGGAGATTTGGGGTTTAACGCATCGAGTCGAAATAAGAGCATCTCCAACGCGCCGCCGCTAGTCATTATTTATGTTCAATTTCCTACGTGGATGACGACCTCGTTGTCGACTGCGGGGTAAGCGTCAACGGTTCATCAGCTTCTCGATCGGGCTGACAGTCATGGTATTATTGATATGCCAAGCAGCTTGTGACAGCTACACGTGTGCCTCCTCGCCGGAGCACTTCGTTGCCGACGAATGCCCCGTGCAAGCACGACACATTCGCCAGTACGCAATTCGACAGCAAGTCGGACGATGCTGACCACGATGACGACCATCGCGATCAAGAGGTCTGCGAACCCGGCGACGGCACTTGGTCCGACACAGATATAGTCATTGCAGCAACCAAGGTTGCAAAGGCACCCGCCAACGACTTCGACGCCTTGCCCCACGACAACGACGATCAAGCCGTCGCCGACGCCGTGCAAGATCGTTACCTGTGCCCCCACGATCTTTAAGCCGCCCTCAACGTCCACGATTCCGAGCACGTGGTCGCCTGCTTCGGTTCCGTGCAAGAGAACTCCGACTCCGTCGATGCGCCCGACGACGGCTCCGTGCAAGTAATTTTGAAAATTAATGTGCAATACATGTCATATTCACTTCATGACATTTCTTCCAAGATGATCAT